TGAGAAGCAGTCAGAGTCAGCCTATAGAGCTCCTGAGAGGACCCAGCTGTATCTTAGCAAGTTTACTCACATGGTAAACAAAAGACTAGAGATATGCAGTTAAAGAGGTCCAGAAGGAAAACCCTCTAAACAGAATCCAGTGTGTTTACCATGTGTGCAAGCTTAAGAAAAGAAACAAATGGCTATTAAAAGTAATGGACAGAAAGAAATGTTTAAAAATAATAAAGTCTTTAAAGCAATAAGTGAAATGATAAAAAATAACAAGCCCCATAGAGAAGGAAAATACACAGAGAGTCTTGATTCTCTGTGTTAGTGTTGATTCTGAGTTTTTTTGAATGCTGATGAGCAAAACACAGTTGCTGACAGACATGGTTTTGAAAGAGGGACAGCATGGACAGCTACAGGTCTCTGTTGTTGGGCAGGTCATACTTACTGACCTGAGGGGCATCTGACACTGTGCTCAGAAGTCTATGGGAATGGCCACCAGCTGGCACCTGACTGAAACTCCTTCATGATGGTCTGGTTCTCCTTCTGTGGCTTGTCCAGGCATGGACAGCTCAGTGCAATTGCTTCTCTCATTTTCTCTGTCAACAGCCACCATTCCTCTTGGTACTGCAGATGACAGTCAGGTCAGCCTGTCATGGAGACCACACAGTATCAAACTTCTGTTCCTCCCTTTCCATTGCCACAGGAAACGTTTGATGCCTTACAGAGTCGGTTCATCACACGTCACTAAGATGTGATGGGGTCAGTCATGAACTTGTTCCTCATCTCCAGGACCTCCTGAGCCAATGTGGCACTGTGGAGAATGGCCTGTGTGGCTGGTGGCAGGTACACGTACACATCATAGATTTGCTTCTTGAAATGTTTGCTCAACATTTCATCAGCTTCGTCTGAAACCGACATCTTGATGGTCCATGTGCTTAAACTCCTACAGTTAATCAATGGAAGACATATATCCCAGTGTGTCTGCACAACTTGCTGCCTATAGTCCAGCTACTGGAGGTCTTCCCAGAATTGGTGTCCATAATGTAGGCATGGCAATGCACATTCGTGTAATCCCCCAGGACAAGAAGACCCTTTTGAATCTCTACAGCTAACTCTCTTGTTGGAGCGAAGATCATAGCTTGTGTTCCTCAAGCCTGGATATCTGAGCACTGGAGGACTGGAAGACTGAAGGTGGCTGCCTTGCCTGTGCCAGACTGAGACTGTGCAGTGACACCTCTCGCTTTAATTAGCTTCTTGATAGCATATTGCTGGATTGCTGAAGGTTTCTCAAAACCATAGGCAGAGGTGCGAACAGATGATTCTGCCTCATTCCCCTGGTGTGGAAAGTGGGGTCACACCCACCTCCTCATTGGTCTCAAATTCCACATTGGTCATGTCCTCCTCTTTGAGCACCTGCTTCTGTATAGAATCCAACACCTCCATTATGGCTGTGGCTGTCATGATCCTGATTAAACTCATGTAGTGTCTATTTATCAAGGTTTTGTTTGTATGTACAGGGGCATTTTCTCCTTTCCCTATGGAATGTGTATCCTTTCCCCATTCTCCTACCTCTGCATCATTGCACAGTGCCATTTGGTTTCGGATGAGGCTGAAGAATAGTTGACACAGGAGCAGATCTATGAGAAGTGCACCAGCAAAGAGTCTATTTCACTAGATTTTTGCATCAATGAGGAAAGGATATATCTTTTTACATGGCAACTGGCAGGTGCTTAATCAAGTGTTTTGTATATAAATTTAGATAGTGACAAAGCAATATTACCTTGAAACATCATTTTCCCCTAAAGGTAAGACCTGAGGTTTAAATGTTCTTTTCATCAGTTTCAATGTGCATCCTTGGATTTCCTGGAACTCAGTTATAGATCAGGATGACTTCTACATTGGTGACCCAGCTCCATCTGCCTCCTGAGTACTGGAATTAAAGATGTGTACCACCATGCCAAGCTTAAAATTTTTAATTATGTATTTTTCTATAGTTTTACCAGTTGTGTGTATATGTGTCTGTATGTGTGTGTATCTGTGTCTTTGTGCCCATGTATTGTACATGGGCCTGAGGATGTCAAAAGAGGGAGTCAGATCCTCTAGATTGCTGCTCTGTGTGCTTGTAAGCCACCATATGCACTCTGGAAAACCAACTCACATCCCCTGTAAGAACATTAAATTATCTTAATTACTGAACCATGTTTTTAGCCCATAAGAGTAGATTTTAAAGTGATTTGGCCAAACATCACCTCTAATGCATCAATGAGAGGAAATTGAATGGTAGAGGAATTATAAAGAAAATAATGTTATAAATAAGTTAAAATTATCAACATGGTCTCAGCAAACATATTTGGCCTAAGAATCCAGCTCTGGTAGACTTTTCTGTAACTATTCCTGGGTCTCTAACATCCTACCTGCCGGGTATTCAGTGTTGCATGGGTAGGTGGAAGGATAGGTCACTCCAATATGAATCTTTAGGCCTTTGTGGCAGCGGGAAGGTTCAGCATCTGAAGGATTAATCCTTGAACATCCATTCAAAGTCATACTTAATGATTGCTACACAAAGTTGTAGACTGGGTAAACAAGTTCCTTGTACTAAAGTCCTTAATCTAATCTGCATGTCTCCTGAAGGACAGCATCAGACCACTGCTACTTAAGTCCATATTGTGATCACAGCCCTGCTACGTAGGTCTGTATAGTGTACCGTTTGCAGTACCCAATAATCCAAGAGCTTCAGGTGGGCCACAGGCATCCTGTGATCAAAGTCATGAAAAGGCAGTAAAGGGCTCTCAGAAAGACAATACTTTGAATCACAGAAAACAATCACTGTTTTCCACAGTAGGTTCTTCAAGGCCAAACAACTATTCTATTTTATTGTTTACCTTAGATACAGAAAAGCAACTATATTATGATGTTAATCCTAGATAGAGTGACTGTTAGATTCCTACAATTCTGCTAAGTGGGCTTTCTCAGACTGCATTTTCGATTTGTATTTGCCTAATGGTAGTTCTGCCAATTTCCTCTTAAATTAAACAGACAAATTCCACTAGGAAGAAATGGAGATGACAGAAGAGTTGTGAACAAATGCTGTGCATCTAAGATCACCACTCCTCACATAACTTAGCAGCTTCCCAGTCATGTTTCCATGTAACAGACACAAACACACATGTGCACACACTCCCATGCACAAACACACATGTGCACACACTCCCAAACACACATTAGAAGCCTAGACATGCTCAGCAATGCTAAGTCTTAAGGTGGCTGACAAGGCTCTTCCCTGCAGCGCTAAGGTGGAGGACAGAGCAGTCATGACCTCATTCTAAACAGACCTATCAATCAAATGTCCAGGTGGATACACTACCTGTTGCCTCTAGTTTGTTTAAGTAGAGGAAGCTGTTCTGAGTCACTGGGTAAAATACACTGCCTGGAATAAAGAATTGAATATGAACTTCCCACAGTCTTCAGTCAGAAGCAGTTCATTATGAATCAGTAACCATGACGGAAACATGAAATCTTCCTTTTGATGGGCGTGGTGTCTTTGTCTCAGAATGAACTGCAAGAAATTAACATTCCTAAGAAGAGATGGGTCCAGTGTAGCTGCTTCAGTAACTGAACTCAGTCAGTGGACCTAAGAATACATTTCTGACACCTTTGTATTCAATCAGGAATCATCTCTGTGTTCTCCGTAGCAGAAATGAGAGAAGTTAAAGGCAGATGCTGTTGATGCCCAAGATAGGGTCAAATATGAACAGTGTCAGAGTCAGAGCAGAGGGGAAATTCAATAAGGAATGTCAAATGTAAGGCAGAGGGGAACCTTGGACCAGGAGTCAGTGCACACTCCAGTGTGATCCCAGGAGTCAGAGCACACTCCAGTGTGATCCCAGGAGTCAGAGCACACTCCAGTGTGATCCCAGGAGTCAGTGCACACTCCAGTGTGATCCCAGGAGTCAGAGCACACTCCAGTGTGATCCCAGGAGTCAGAGCACACTCCAGTGTGATCCCGGGAGTCACTGCACACTCCAGTGTGGTCCCAGGAGCTGGGCCCTCCTCTGGAGGAGGTGCAGAGGAGGAGAGCTGTGCTCAGAGAACACCTGGTGTTGACTGCTTGCCTGAGTCGTGAAAAGTCTGTGAGAAGTGTGTGAGGGGGTTGTGGTAGAGCAGACACTGAATTTATATTTATTACACAGATTAATAGGAGAAAGTGTGGTTAAGGCATTGACAGATGGAAACATCTGAGATTGATCTGGAATTTCATTATAAGTATACATCAGGGATCTATTGTTTCTACTTTGATCAATGATTTTAAACATCTCTGTGGCCCTGACCCATATCCTTCACTGTATGGACTCCCAAGTTCATGTGACTCCTATTCCAGCTGTGGAGTCTGATCCATGCATGGCCCACACGGTGTCAGCACAGGACAATGATTTTTTTTTGACAAGGATAATTTTCATTATTGGGAATTAAACCAAGGTTGCTGCATTATAACCAGGTGCTTTACCCTGAGCTGGCCCACTGTGCATCCTCTACACATTGTGTTTAGATAGAACACATCTATAAATTGTCTTTGATAGCCTTGTCTTCTGGTTCTTCTGTCTTAAGTGCCTGAGATCCTGGATGACAGGCAGGGTCACCAAGGGCGGCTTCAAAAAGCATCTTGAAGACATGATGCCCAGTCCTACATTAGCTTCCTGCTTCCTTATTTTAAGTAAAACAGATGAACCTGATTTTCCATGCGGTAGTTAAGATCTCCTAATAAGGAGACCTCAGCTTCAAAATCAGAAACTTTCAGCGGAAATACCTAGGAAACGTGGTAAACATTACTGTGAAAGGCTCGGCTCACAGGCTAACATCGGGTGCTAAGATCCTAGGACTGAAACAGTCCGAATCCCCCGTGTCTGTCCCTGTGATCGAGTCTGTTTCCTTCCAACCTCACCTGTGCACAGGCACTGAACAAATTACCATCTTAGGATCCCTGGAAGTCCTTCGCGCTGACTTGTGGGAAATGTAGTCCCAAAAATACGATGACGTCACAAGAAGGGGCTGTGGATACCGAACTTCCGTATTCAGTCTTCAAACTTCGCTTCTCCCTAAAGTTAGGCGCCTGTGCTGCTCAGCGCTGGGCTTGGATCTCTGACATGGAGGTTGGTGCAGGGTGCAGCGCCGTCCTGCAGATCTGAGGGAGTGTGCAAGGTGTCGGGTCCGGCGTGGAGGGAGCTGACTTGGGCTGGTTGGGAGGCAGGAGAAGCTGACCTTGGGGTGTGGCTGTGCTGACCTAGGCTGGACCACTGCACCTGGGTGCAGGTTTGACGGGAGAGTGGGACGTGCCAAAGCCATGTGCTGTGGTTGTCTTTTCTCTTAGGACGCCCTGCTGCCCGAGTGACCTAGGAGCTGAAGGGAGCTCACTTTCCTGCTTGGCTGGGGAAGCATCTCTCCCTAGCTGACCCTGGCTTACATGGCTGTAGTCAGATTTCTCAGGACTTCTAGACCATGTGGACAACTCATCCTTCCTATAAGTTATGGCCGGCCTGTTACTCCTGGGTTAAGCTCACAGTGGTTCCTAATGTTGCTAGTTTCCAGAGACCAAGTCCTGTGGACGCTACTGTTGTGTGCGATGTTAGTTCCTTTTCCCTTGGGATGATTTGGATGCCTCCGGTTGAATAGGAATCCTTGATGTGCACTGCTGTGTGTAACCATCACATTAACATCCCTGTATAGTCACATAATCTTGTAATAGGTAGTACCCGGTCACTGGACAAGCCACATAATTACAGATTTTACCCTGCAGAGTGGAAGAGTAGACAATAATACCGCATAGATTCCATTTGAGACTGGTGACGTCAGAATTTTGGACTCCTTTCCAGATGCGAGAGAGGACTTGGTATGATGACAGCAATGTACACCATGATTGCCAGGAGGGGACTTGAATGTCTCTGAAAGGGAGGGGAAAGCCAGTCCTGCAATTCTGGCAAGTTCTGTGCCTTGTCCTCTCATCACATGCTTTCCTTCAGTCTCTTTCCTTTATTGACAGTGTCTGTGCTCCCTTAAAAAAAATGTAGCTTTGAAAAGCTGTGGCCCACTCAGGGCCCTTTGATTTGCATATAGAACTTTCCTCCTCCTGTGACAATTGTAGCTCTAGTCTTAAAGGGAAAAGGGCATAGTTTAGTCTGGAGCCATTTGAATCACCATGCCCTAGAATCAAAGGTTAGGTTATCCCAAATAGCATGCGCCAATGTAGAAACAGTTTCTTTTACAGAACAAAGAATGTTATTAATCAAGGCAACTTTAAAGTACATTGGTGGGTAGCCCAGATAGGCATGTGATGTGAGATGGGGGACCTATTCTGTCTGCTTAAGATACTATCCGGTGACATTCTTGGCTTTTAGGTTGATGGAAGCTCATGTTCTGCCACATCAGTGGATTATAAAAGTTCCTTTCATGTATTGTCACAAGTTGTTTGGTCCACTACAGAGTCATGAAAGGAATGACTGTTTCTGAAGGGTAAAAGTAGCCCAAGGTAGGGTAAGTTCTGAACCTGCAAAATTCCAGTCTCCACAGTTCTGAACTTCACATGGTCCATCAGTCTCTGCAGACACAGACTCCTTCCAAGAGTTTTTCACCCACAGCCAGACACAACTTCTTATCAATAATTTCTTCCATAGCCATTTCCCCTATCTCATGTGCTCTTGCATATATTGCCCAAGTTATATCAAAGCAAGTGTTGGTCAGCTGGAGACTGGCTCATGACACTGAAGACTACTCTTAAGAAACACGGGCTTCAAACCACCTTGTCCCACCAACTGGAATTTCCAGCGAGTTTCCATCCATATATAAAATAGTAGGCACTTCCTATTTAGTGTTGCTAATCTGTAAGGAAAAGAGTGACATTCTGTAAAGTGGGAAAAGCACATTGCCTTCTACATCAAAACAGCTCCCTTACAAGGAAGAGGTGATACAGCACCAGACGCAAGTATAATCTACAAGCCCCAAGTAGTTTCATACGTTTTGAAGGAAGCCTCTTCTATGGCACATCCATGTCATCTCTGCATTTGGAAGAACAGTCAGGAAACCCAGACTTCAGAGTCATCCTCTGCCTCATAGCACATTGTCTCCTTTTGAGTTACCACATTTCAGTCATTGAGTCCATGGACACTTTTCCAAGGCAATGACATGTTTTGAGTCCAAGAGTATGTCTCAATTTGTCAGGCAGACACTATCAAAAACTCTATTCAGTTGTTTTGTTTGTGGTAGGTTGACAACAAAAGAAACAAAACCAAGAAACGAATAGTCCTGAGCCCGCAGGTTCGAATCATTTTCAGGTTTTGAGTTAAATTTTTTCTGTCACTGAGTCCAAGGACACGTTTCCACTTCCATGGTTAAGTCCCTCCATAATTAGTGTGCCAGTGTTCTTCCCAGTTTCCTTCATTCTCTCTGTGGGTACACTACTTCATTTCTGCAGGGGTGTTCTAGCCTTCATGGCTAGCAAAACAACTAGACAGGGGGAACAGGAAGGCAGTTCTGTCACATGAAATTCAGGTGTTGGTTCAAATGCTAGGAGTGTGATTCCCTAAGGCAGGATTTTAGGCACATTTACGCACAAGCACAATTAGATGAAAATTCTTCTGGTAATAATTAACTCAATCCCATATGCACAACCAAGCATACATACATCGCTTTGAGGAACAAAGCAAGCTAAATACAGTATATATGTGACTACGAAAATGCTCTTTGTAAAGCCTAAGCAGATAAGTTCTATAGATTGAATAAGAAAAACTTACAAACTAATTTATAAGGGTCTGAAGGGGACTCTGTGACAGAATTGGCTCTAGCCACATAGATAAAGCAAAGGTCAGAAGGCTAGAAATCCGCTGTAAGCTTCTGGACAGAAAACGGGTTTTGCATGCCTTCCCTTGAAGGAAGAATCCTGTATGCTTTGAATTGCAGGTTCCTCAAGTGCATATATGCATAGAAAGACTTCTGTGCTGAATACATATCCCCACAAAGGTCTTCTTTACCTTCCTAGTTTCTGCAGTTGCTCCAGGATGTATAGAAACATCTGAAGATTTAGAGCTAGGAGGCTCAGATGACAAGGGACATACAATGTTTGTCATCATGGATCTTGGCTACCTCACTCAATATGATGTTTTGTTGTTCCATCTATTGACCTGTGACTCTTCTTTATATCTGCAGAGTATTCCATAATGTACATTTACCACATTTTCATTATCCATTAGTCAGTTGAAGGATGTTTGTGTCATTTCCATTTCCTGGCTCTTATGAATAGAACAGTGATGAACATGGCTAAGCAACTATCTATGGATTGAATGCCAAGGTCTTTTAAACTGTTACAAAGAGTGGTATGTATAGTTGGGACAAATAGATTAATTTTTAGTTTTTGGGAATTCTCTATAGACTGATGTTTCCTGTCCTGACCGGCCACTCCCCATCCTGGTAACTGCTTCCTAATTACCACAAAGAGGCTTAATATTATTTGTAGATGCTCAGCCAATAGCTCAGGCTTATTACTAACAAGCTTTTACATTGAAATTAACCCATGTAATATCATGATACTATATCAGACTTATTTTAGGGATATAGCTTGCCTATGTTAGCTCTCTTCTCATTCTTGATGATTTTTAGAGTTGTATGCAGAAGCAGATGATGCTTCATGGTATTTATGTAATTACTGACAGTTTTAATAAATGCAACATGTGGTATTCGTTCGTTATTCTTCATTTCAGGATATGCTGTCATTCTGGGATGTGGCCATTTATTTCTCTGCAGAGGAGTGGGAATGCCTGGGCCCTGCTCAGTGGAATCTGTACAGGGAGGTGATATTGGAGAATTACAACAATCTGGTGTTCCTGGGTGAGGAGCTCTTCCATGATAAATCCTTAATAATTGTCGGCATGAAGCTTGCTACCTTTGTGAATATCTGTGTACTTACAACAGTGAGTGGTAATGTTGGAAATTAAGTGGCATGAGCAGGGTGTATACACATTAAAGAGAATTTCACACTCTTCAGTTTTAATATTTTTCCTTGTAACTGAGGGACATGAAGCTCAAGATCTTCAAATCCTAAATTCCCCCAAAGCATTCTGATGTGCTTGCCATGTAACATGAAGAGCTAGTCCTCTGCTGTTCACAGGACTGTACACAGTCCTGGAGAGGACATGTTATTCCCAGGAGAACACACTTACATTGTTGTTCCTTTTTCACAAAACAGGTCTTGCTTCATCAAAGCCATATCTGGTGACGTTTCTGGAGCAAACAGCTCCAGACATGAAGAGACAAGCAGCTGGCACCATGCAGCCAGGTGTGTAGGAATTAGGGGGTCAGAGGACAGAGTGGGAGGTCAACAGCCCAACAGAAATCCGGGCTTTTTCCTGAGCAGGGAGACACAACATTTTGGTGGAAATTATTGTTTAGGGATCTCTGTTTCTGTCCTTTGCTTTCAAAGGACATCTTCCAGATGTTTATGACACTTTCTTTGAGTCTCTATGCTTTGTTCTCCTCCTCCCATGAGGTCAGCTTGTGTCTATTGTGACTCCAAAACTCCGTCATTTCTACGTGAACTTGACTAACTTTTCATAATATGACTGTCTTGCGTATTTGTTTTCCTCATAAAATATGTACAAAATCTACCTGCCTTAAATCTTTGAAATGTATTATTTAATATTGTAAAGGCAGTCTTCTGGTTATGCATCCTTTCATACATTACAAAACTAAAAGCTCTGTATTAGGATTATGTATAAATTATGTATACATGTGTTTTCCACATTTAACTACTTGTATACTTTATATGAATATACATATATATATGATTAAGGACTGATTTCAATTAGCATAATGCTCTTAAGGGTCTTATTAACTCTTTTTGTTATATCTTCATTCCCATGTTTGACTTTGATTAATATTTTTTTGTTTGTATGTTCTATGTTGCCATGGTCATCTTATTTCAAAATAAGGTTACATGATTTCTAGCTGTTTTGTTTTTTAACTATGCTCCATTGAATGCAACTATAGAAATTTGAATAGAGCCTATCATTTAAAAAAGGAAATGCATGTATAATAATGAGTAAATGTTTCTGTTTTTAAAAATGAGCACTGTAACAAAGAGTTTTACTCATCTTTCATTCATTTC